AATAGAAAGTAACAAACAGTCAAAAATGGTTATATACATTTTTGTATATGAAATATACATTTCATATATAGAAATATATACATTTCATATATAGAAAGTAACAAACAGTCAAAAATGGTTATATACATTTTTGGTGATGAAAGGAGGCTATTGGAATTATTTTCAGAAGTATGTGTTGAAGGTACTTACAGTTGCATGGGTGAGTGAATACCTTCCAGAAACTTGAGGGACCAAGCAGATGCATCATCAATGGTGCATCACCAAACATGGATACATCACCAAACATGAATGATGACTCATAAAAAGCTATACTATTATTGTAGTATACAATTTTGGACATAGGACTTGGAACACTGGAGCTACAACTTACCTGGAAGACTCCTCCCTGAAGGCTAACTCTCATAATACTGTGCAAGATGCTAAGGGAGAAAATCAATAAATGGTCCAACCCCCTTGTAAAGCCTAATAGCCACAACAATGACCAGCATAGCAAACTATCTCTACTGGTCGAAATTTCTTACTGTACGCTAAATATGTATCCCTATATTTATAGACATATACCTCTCATCACTCATCAAAGAGGTTTCTTTTGGCAACAGACAGAGTATTACAGAGTTCCACAAATGGCAAAATGCTCAGAATAAGTTCCTGTGACATTCCCAGTCCTAAGTGACACATCTATAATGGAACCTCTCTACATCTAAAGCTCAGGGAACAGTGAATCAGGAGGCAGATAAAATATTAATGCAACTCTCAAGTCTCTCCAGTGAAGCTTCCTCATGAAACAGATGGTGATCAACATAGAAAGCCACAACTGACCAAAATGTAGAGAATGAAGGGTGTGTGTTCCTGGGTAGGACTCCTGTATTAAATCTCTGCCACCCAGTACTCAGGACCATTATGGAAGAGGGGGCAGAAAGATTGTAAGAGCCAGAGGTAGTGGATGAACACAAGAAAACAGAGTTTTCAGGACCTTGGAAATTGCTCATATGACATTACAACAATGATGACAGCATACATAAGACCCATGTAAACTCAAACCAGATAAAAATCTAGCATAGAACTGGGGACATGGGTAAGAAGCCCCTTGTAAGTTGAATTCACTGTTGGGAGGTATGTGTTTGGCTTCCTCCTTCCACTGTTCAAACTGATACAATGTTCCTCCAAATTTATGGAATAAAGATGCTTATTTGGGATTGTGAACAGAACATATGATGATGATGAGGGGTACTTACAAAGGCATAGACACCCTTGGGCTTTTTCTTCTACATTTTGCCTGAGCCTTTCAGATCTGTGGCACCTAGCCCAACTACCCCAAGATGGCAGGGCACCCTCTGCCCCTCTTGATTCTCAGTTGTCTCTCCTTAGTCCATCCCCCTCAATCAATTAAGGTTGATTGAGAAAGGTGGGTGGGAAAGGTGACCGTCTCCCTCAGCTTCTCCCTTCCTATGGAGAGCCTTAAGGTTTGAACAGTTTGATGTAAGTGGGGAAAGGAGAAACTAGAGAAGAAGATACCCATCCATCTGTTGCTGGTCATTTGGAGGACATGCCTATCCAACACCTCAACTTTAGTTGAAGAGCTAATGGCAGCTGCTCACTGCTAGATGAGGAAGAATTAGTCTTTTTTAAGGGAGTGATGTTAGATAGACTGACCAAACTCCAGTAAATGAACTCACACTGAGGGACATCTGGGGATACAAACTTGACTTGATAAGCCTTAACATACATGACAGAATACATGAAATCAGGCAGGGGGTCAGGAGTTGTAAGGATAGGAGAGGGAGTCTAAATATTAGTGTATTGTATGAAATGCACAAAAATTCAATAAAAATAGAAAAAAAGCTATAATTTTCATGCTCTGCACAACATGTAGTCAGGTACCCTACCAAAGAGTCTCTTCTTCCTCTAGAATTTTTTTGCTACTTTTATAAGCTTGGTGGGGGTGGGGAGGCTCATGAGTCTCCTGGTCCCTCTCCTTCTTCCATACATAAGAAGCAACCACACAACTGAAGTAATAAATTGAAAGAGACAACAGAAGATAGAAATAATTCCTCATTCATGGGTTGGCAGAATGAACATTAAAATGCCCATACTATTGAACACTGTCTACAGAATCAGCGCAGTAAGTTACAAAAGTCCAAGGATACTCTTTATTGAAAAAGAAATGGGCTGTCCTATGGAAGGCTAGCTTGTGAGACTGTGTGTTTGTGTGTGTGTGTGTGTGAGAGAGAGAGAGAGAGAGAGAGAGAGAGAGAGAGAGAGAGAGACCTGAACATCCAAATCATGAGCAAGAGGAACAAAACTGGAGCTAACACCACATGTGAATTAAAATGACACTACAAGGGAGTGAAAAAGTCAAAAGGTTGTGGAAGAAAAGCAAACACTGTCTTCTCTCATATGTGGAATTTAGGATAATATAGGACATGGAAGTGAAAGAGGGACTCTTTGGACATAGAAAAAGAAAGAAAATGTGATATGCGGGACAAGATGTTAGAAAAGTGATGAATATTACCTAAACGCATTATAATCATATATGAAAATATAATACTGAAATTTGTTGCTTATGCAATTAATATACTATACTAATAATATATTAAAGTAGCCCACGTTTGAGCAAATGATGCCAATGATGCATGGAAGATGCAGGACAGGTGTTTCAGTGTTGTCCTGGCATAGCTGGTGAACTGCTGTAGAGTTGAGACTGAGCTATGGGTGAATTGCAACCTCAAAAACATTCAAGAATTTGGGCTTTGAGGATTGAGGAAGGCACCATAGTTACCAGTGAAGTTGAAAACTGGGAGATTTTGTTGAATATTTGTATTAAAGCATATGGACTAAGACTTTCCCTGACAACCAATAATCCAAACACCTTAATTTCCAAGCATCATCTCCTACTCTAGCAGGAGAAAGGAGTCTATTTTATGAAGAAACAGTTTTTTTCACTTCATGGAAAAGAATAAGTATCAATATCCCAAATGAATAAAAGAAGGTATTGAAAACAAGAAAATTAGGACAAAATACCACAAAAAGCCTAATTACAGAATATTAACATTTTTATTCTGAATAAAATGATTTAAAGCCTTTCATTCTGTTCTCACACATTTATTTCCCCAAATGAAAGTGTATAATCAATGAAATTCACAAAAAATGCTTTGGGCTCACAGTTTTCCATCTTCTATTTTGTCCCTTAAAAATGAAAACTGGAGAGCCAGAGAGATGACTCAGCAGTTATAAGTACTGTCTGTTTTTGCAGAAGGCCTGAGTTTGAATCCCAGCACCCATATCATGGCTAACAACCAACCATAATTTCAGTTCCAGGGGATCTGATGCCTCTTCTGACCTTTGTAGGCATTGCATGACATGGATGATTTTACACACATGTAGGAAATATACTCATACACATAAAATAAATAAATATAAAAGTGGAACATATTAGTTGTAGAAGATGACTGAAATAGAAATATTAATTGCTATTATATGTCATGTATATACAGAGAAGTATGCATTATTAGAATGTTAGAGCCAGGCCTGGTTTGTAAACACGGGGAAGCAGGGGCTTTCAGGCCACTTGAAGCTTGCACATGTGAACATGTGGCAATGGTGGCATCGAGCACAGGATCCATGCCAACTCAATTAAACAAGGGCTCAGAGTGGAGTGAGAGAAGTGGGCAGCAGCCCCTGATTAAGAACTACTGGAGATTGATTATTACTGGGTGAGGGAGAATAGGCCTTACCAAGAATCTCTAGATAGGCTGATTAGACTCTTGTTGATGAATTTACACCAAAGAACATGTGGGTACAAAGAACTGACTGGATAAGATTTAACATGTATGGTGGAATACATGAGGTCTAGTGGGTGGTTGGGGAGCATGAGTAGGAGATAGGATTTAAATTTTAATAAGAACTGTAGTATGAAATGTACAAAACCTCAATATTTTTAAGTGCTATAAAGCACATATATTCATTTAGTAGAATGTTATGTTTTTTTGACATTAGGACACTTAGAATAGCATATAAATAAATAATAAATAAAGATACTTCATAAAAATTATTTTAAAAATAATAGCTCTTTGTAAATTACTTTTTATTGAAAACTACACTGATCATTAAATGTCTACCTTTGCAATAGACAAATATAGTATTGATAACACACATTAAAAATTTTGATTCTTAAACACTACATTATTGAAGTTTTTAAACAACTCAATACCTAAAGGATGTGGATTGACCTATAGGAAGAAATTGGTTATGAGTATGGGCTCATGTCAGTATAGAGGCTGATAAGTACTATGGCATGATCTCAGAAAGCTCTAGGGCCTGGGAAGTCCTTGATGCTATGCTGTCCAGTTTCAAGACAGGAGGAGGGTAGGATGAAATGGAGAAAGTATATGTATTTTAGGCTGAAGACCAAACATGTAGTAGCTCTAATGTGCACAACTGAGAGAAAAAATGGATGTTTCAATTCAACTGAAGCCTTTATGAATGGCAGGTCCAACCTCCTGCCTGAGGGAAGATCTTTAATAAGTGGTGGAATCAGAGAGTAATTCTCCTCAGAAGCATCCTCAAAGATGTATACACACATAAAAATGTTTTAGTAGTTATCTGGAAGGATCCTTTTGTTTTAATTACCTCCCAAAGGCAAACAGAACATTATCCCTATGACATTAGAATCTGAGAAATTCACCACACCTAATAGAATTTGTCATCACTGGACAAATTCATGCACTTTCTTGTTCATTTTTCACATCAGTTTTACATGTATTTAGATTATAATGCCATCGGAAATATAAATGGAAAATGATTGAATGCAGGAATATTGCTATTATGTTTTTAACAGAGAGACCCAAAGATATTAGAAACATTCCCACTTGGAATTAAGAATTGAAAGCTCCATTTTTATCTCACATGACAGATTATTGCAGGGAAGTACATGCAGAAGATTGGGTAAAGATGAATGTAGATATAGTGCATTCCCAAACCTAAGGTTTTAATAATGAAAATCATCCTTTCTTCATAAAAATTTCTGTGAATGCACTCTTCACCTCCTTGTTCCTCAGGCTGTAGACCAGAGGGTTCAGCATGGGGATGACCATGGTGTAGAACACAGATAGGATTTTGTCAGTGTCCATGGCATGACTAGAGCTGGGCTGTAGGTACATGAAAGTGATGGTCCCATAGAAAATGGAGACTGCAGTGAAGTGGGAGGCGCAGGTGGAAAAAGCCTTCTGGTGTCCTGCTCCTGAGTGCATCTTCAGGATGGTGATGAAAATGATCGCATAAGTTACAAAGATTACTGTGACAGCAAAAAAGATATTGAAGCTGGCTATACAAACAAGAACAAGCTCATTAACATGTCTATCAGAGCAGGAGAGAACCATCACTGCTGGAACATCACAGAAGAAGTGGTGGACCACATTGGACTTACAGAAGGAGAGACTGAAGGTGTCCCAGGTATCAATGGAGGCATTGAAGAAACCACTGACATAACAGCCTGTGACCAGGAATATACACACCTTTGTAGTCATTATGGTAGTGTAATGTAACGGCTTACACACTGCTGCATAACGGTCATAGGCCATTGAGACCAATAGGTAGCTTTCTGCATTGCCAAAGGCTCCAAAAAAGAACATTTGAGCAGCACAAGCATTGTAGGACATTGCCTTGTCACCAGTTATGAGTCTAGCCATGACTTTTGGAGTGACAGCTGTAGAGTAACAGAAATCCACCAGAGACAGGTTACCTAGGAAAACGTACATGGGAGTGTGGAGCCGAGAATCCAAGAGAATCAACAGTGTCATCCCCAGGTTCCCAACCAGGGTAATGGTGTAGATGAGGAGGAAGGTGATAAAGAGGGGAACCTGCAGGCCTGGGTCATCAGTGAGTCCCAGCAGGATGAACTGTGTCACTTCTGTCCTGTTCTCCATCAGTGATATCTGAGAGCCACTAGATGCTCTGTAGCAATGGTGAAGACTAATACGAAGATAAAGAGGTCAAATTGCACAAAAATCAATAAAAATATACAGTGAGAAAAAAGAGAAATACCTAATTATCATATATATTCATTTACTTTAAGATTCTCAGGGAAAACATGGACTTCAAAACTTAGTTTGGTGCATTAAAAATACATATATATTCATTTATTTCATATGTACATATATAAACATATTTCATATATAACATGCTATTAGATGCAAATTTAAATTTTTTAAACATATTTTTATTTTATGTGTATGAATGTTTTGCCTACATGTGTGCAAGTGCATCCATCGCATGTGTGAAAACCACGGAGGTTAGAAGAAGACGTCAGATTCCCTGGAACTAAAGAATGATTGTTAGCCACCATATGGGTGCTGAAAACTCAACCATGTCCTCTGCAAGAGTAGACAGTGCTTTTAAATGCTGAGCCATCTCTCCAGCCCCCTAACGTGAAGAATTGTAATGCATTATATAGTCCATTGAAAATTTTATCTATATATAAAACATAAGTATAAACAATTTAATTCTTTGATGAAAATGACTTGCTGAAATTATTGTGCTCTGTCAAGTCCCATCTCTCCGGACTCATTAGAAGTTGTCAAGTCTATGTTGCTGACCTACCAAAACCCACTACAGACATTATAGGTTGCCCTGCCTCATCTCACTAACAGTTTCAGAAAAACAAATAGCTGTTGTTAAATATTTTCATTCAGCATCACAATAAAAGAACCATCTCATTCTTCTGGCATTTTTGAATATTTGCTTTATTCTGCTATATTTCCAAAGCTCCTATGATAGGTAAATGTGCCATCAAAATACCATTGACAGGTAATTCAGGTATTTAAGATGTCTCATCCAAAATATTTTACTTATTTTTTTTGCAGAAATATCTCAGTGTATAGTAATAATCACCAAATTCTTCTCTCTAATGGAAATTTCAACATTTATCCCTCATTGATTTCAGAATTCTTTTAATAAACATGGAGGCTTAGTGATCCAGAGTTTTCTCTCTCTCTCTCTCCAATCCCCCATCTCTTTTATCATAGTAGCAGAAGGTATGATAATCATGAACACTAAAATTTCCATGTTTTCTAAGGCAGAGAAAACATAAAATAAGGAACCAAAGCTTTAAGCAGTGGATTGCCTTCTGCCTCTTTGCAAAACAAGCATGATGAATTTACATCTGTCCATTTCAAAGACTGTGGCTATGGAAAGAAGGGACATCTGTGAGAATCTCAGGAAGAGAATCAGGAAGTAAAATCTAATTTTTGTGCCTAAAAGTATTCTCTAGCTGTGGTCGAGGACTCATAGTAAATTCTTGAGTCAGAAGAAATCATGTACTAACCACAGTCATTCAAACGAAAACCAATGCCCAAATGAAACCTGATGCGAGGTTCATTCTCTTTAAAATGATAAGATGTAGAGGCATATTGGGATCTCAGAAGTGAGAATACGGAGACCTGGGGTGAATTATACAGACATGGAGGGCATTGGAGTTTCCCCAAGAGACTTTCTGCAGTACAGATCCTACACTGGGAGTAAGAAGCAATTATTGACCTATGGGAATTAAGTTGATTACTTTAATGTCATAGAAGCAATTATCAACCTGTGGGAATCAAATTGATTATTTTAATGTCATACAGCTATTGGTATTACTTGTGACTTCCTCATTTTTTAAAGATTCTAATTAGCAGTTTCCACAGAGTGAAACAGACACAATTAAGTACATAGTTGTAAGAATTCTGTCAAATATTTGGGCCTCTATTACCACAAGTTACTTAAGCTGTGATACTGACACTACAAATTATATTCTCCCTGATGAAGTTGCGGAACAATTGTGTTGATTTTAGTGTTCGGTTGTTGCCAATCAAACTGATTAAAATATTTGATGGACTAATTCAGGATGGATGTCTGTTTTATTTAAATACAAAGATATCAATTTGATTTGTTAAATTATATTTCTTTAAGATATTTCAACCCTGATTCATGAAAGCACCTTTCACTTAAACATTCACCAGTTGTCACATAAATTGTTTCATGTTTTTCCATACTTGATATTTAGTATTTTGCAATTGTTATTCTTCTTTTACTGTCATTCTTCCATCATTACCTCACATATAAATAATACTCTCAGATAATCTATGTTTTCTACCTCAAAACTGTTGGACACCTTCAGTTGCCAACTTGGGATACCTGAGAAGAGGATACCCTAATTAGGGAACCTTCCCAATCAGAGTCCTTGTGGTCATGTCTGTGCAGCACTTTCTTGAGTGCTGAGTGATGTGGGAGGACTAACACTACTATGGCCTTTGCCACCTCTGGTCAGGTGGTCCTGGGTTGGATAAAAAAGCAGACAGAGCACAGGCCAGGGGAGCAAGCCAGTAAGCAGCATTCCTCCATGTTCTTTGCTTAAGCTCCTGTCTCTGGGCTCCTGTCCTGGTTTCTTTCAGTGATGAACTGTCACTTGGAAGAGTTCGAAGCAATAAACCCTTTCCTTTCCAAGGTGGTTTTGGTCAGAGTGTTTTTTGTCTTTTTTTTTTTGTTTTTTCAGAGCTGAGGACCGAACCCAGGGCCTTGCGTGTGTTAAGCAAGCGCTCTACCACTGAGCTAAATCCCCAACCCCCAGAGTGTTTTTTATCACTAACCAGAACAGAAACCCATGTATCTTAGCATAACTATCAAATGCTGGGAATATTTTTTCCATCAAAAAGAAGAAAGCATTTTAAAAATTTGTTTCTATTGATTTTTTGTGTATTTCATACAGAACATCTCAAACAATTTTAATCATCTTTATATCCCCATCTCCACTGGCACCCTCCCATAACCACAACCCCCACTGGAACCCATATACTCTCATCCTTGTTAAGGCCTGCTGTATCAAGCCAATGTCACCAGATGCTCCCCAGTGCAAGTCCATCAACTGAGATCTAGTCAGCATATCTAGAGTCCCTAGTTTTAGGAATATCAGTGCTTCTTCACCTAGCAACAATCGGTTGTCAATATTTCTTCAGCTAAAATTGAGGTCTGCTGTTCATTTCCCCAGTTTTGTGCTGGGTTTTTGTCTGCCTGAGTTTGCATGGGACTTGTGTATGCTGACACCATTGCCATAGAATCATATGAGCAGGTTCCCAGGATCTTTTAGAACTTTGTTTCCATATGGTCATGCACTTCCTCCCTGGCCCTTACAATTTTTCTTTTCCCTCTTCCGCGATGGTCACTGAGCCTTGAGTGGGTAAAGTTTAATAAAAGAGTCCTGTCCAAGGACCAGCATTCAGCAGACTCTTAATCTCTACACTTTGGCCATTTGTGATCTTTAGTGTTCCTGGTCCTCCATTGCATGAGACAGCTTCATTAATGAGACTTGAGGGATTCATTAGTGCCCTTTTCTTTATCCCTGTTCTATGTTCCATGAGCCGTATGTGTAGAGGTTGCATTGTAGATGTGTTGCTTAGGCATGAGCAATTCATAGACACTGTCTGTCTGTGACCAGTGGTGGTACTTGGTAATAGTCGCAAACTGGTTCAAAATCAGCTTCTTTGATGAGTGGTGGTTGGAATATTTGTCTATAAATATAAAGATACATATTTTGTGCATAGTAATAAATCACATTAGTCTAGGAATGTGGGAGTCTTGCAGTTTTCTCCAAGATCTACGACCACTCCAACCATGTGTATTTGGTTATGTTTACAGTACCACACTTAGTTTCCTCCCATTGAGTAGGCTTTTAGTCCAATTAGGTAGCTGTTGATAGATGATAGATAGGTAGGTGACATATAGATGGATAAATAGATGATAGAAAGATGATGGATGATAAACAGATGATAGTTCAATGATAGATCAAGATAGACAGATAGATAGATAGATAGATGATAGATCAATGACAGATAGATGATAGATAATAGATAGATGCTAGATAGATGATAGATAAATATGCCCTTCCTCCCTGCTAGACTTGAATAGCTATTGCCAGATTTCCAACTTTCTTATCAAATACTTTAGATTCTACACATGAGTAAAGTCATCTGAAAATGTCATCCTTAGCTGGCTTATGTCACTCAACACTCTGATCTCCAGTCACATCAACATTTTCACAGATCACAGAATGGTTGAATAGTTTACTTTGTACATGATCATATGTGTCGTATTTTCTTTTGCATTCATGTGTGTCATTAAGCACTGTTCTTAATAACCTATTCTCACTAATCTCTGTCCTTCACTGCCTATTCCTAGGCTCCCTGTCTCTCCCTGAACTTCCCTCTTTTCTATTTCTATGTGAATTAGTCAGGGTTCTCCAAAGGAACAGAACCAGTAGAATGAATATATATGTATAGAGATTTATCAGCTTAGCTCACAGGATAGAGTCCAAATAGTCCAACAATGGCTGTACCATACTGGTGAGGCTGAGAATCCGTAGCCGCTCAGTCCACAAGGCTGGATGTCTCAGTAGCCCCAATCTGGTGCTGAAGGTCTGAAAAATTCCAAAAGATCAGCTAGTCTTCAGTCTACAGCAGCAAGATGAACTCACCAGCAAGAGAGAAGGCAAGCAGCAAGAAGCCTGTCATTCTCCTCTGCCTTGGTCTTTTATATGGGCTTCCATGAGAAGGTAACACCAATATTTAGGGTATGTCTTCCAGCTTCAGATGATCCAATCAAGAAGATCTCTTTCATTTCAGTTAATCCCAGATCCAGTTAAGTTGACACCCAGGATTAACCATCACAAGGCCACCCCTTGTCAACTTGACACCCAATAGCATCTCTCTAAGACATGCTTAATTTTTAAATGAAAACAATGTTGAGGTCATAATTTCACCTAATATAACTATCCCATCATACAATGACCAATGCATTACATATCTTAGAGTAGGTGATAAGGTCTTTGATGAATGCTTAGTCCTTTAGTGTCTCATAGCCAAATACAATCACATAGGTTCACAACACTTAACCACTTGAC